ACTAAACAATGGGGATTAGCTTTCTTCACCCAAAGCTATGATTCTCTAGGTTGGGAAAGGGATTGTTCAGTCCAAAACACAGCGTTCAGGCATTTCCTTATCTGTGTGACTCCTTTTGTGTCTGAACAATGCAAATACTTAAATCGGGTAATGAGAAATTAAGCATTTCCTCACCTCTTCCCCAATAATCACGGATTTAACCCTTCCAAATGAATGCATTAATCTTTACCTCCACCTTCCCCATCTCTGTTTTAGACTTTTTCATGAAAGGCCAGGACTGGTTTGTCCTTCTTAACACTAAGTGACATTTTAGACTAGGAATCATTGAAATATTTGGAATATTCCTTGCTTATGTCACTATGACTTCATCGCTCCTCTGCAGTGAAGGGCAAAAGAACTTGGTTGCAGGAGAGGGGAAGCCCTGACCTTGGGGCAGTAATCCAGGCTGAATCTGGGGCTAGGCCCTATCTGACAGCTCTTCTTCCCCTTATGCACATGCACTCCGTTTTTTTGTGTTAATTCACTCTCCCAGCATGTGGGAGTCAAATGCAGGTTTTTATGTTGAAGAAAATCTGTGACATTTGGTAAATGGAAATGCTGGGGAAGTTCTGGTTGAGCAGGAGTATTATTTATCATATGTTCTCCTTGCTAGAAAAGGCTCCTTTGTACTGGGGGTGCCAAAGAGGCACGTAAGGATTTTAGTAGGGAGGAAACATTTGACTTACCCAGGTGCTATCCCCGTCATCACGGTGGATTTACAAACCTGATGTCATCTATTTGCGTTTTTAAATCGCAGCAAGGAGCAAAACGCAGCGATAGGAAAGATTAGCCTTCGTTCGATGAAGTAACTGCCAAATTAAATGATGACAGATGGAAAAACAAAAAAGCCACCATGTCAGGGGTCCGATGATAGCCCTCTGTTTTAGCAAGAGGTAAATATATAAACCTCAGCTGGTGCCTGCAGGAAAAGAGGCGTCCAGTTTAAATACAGCCCTCGCACTTTTTATTTAATCGATACCCCCTATCGCAGAGAGCAGCGAACAGCATTAGAACTAAAACAGTGTTATTAGAAAATGATATACTGCGCATTAGGATGTATAATTCATGTCGCCGTCATTTGCTCAGCCCGTCGCGAAAAAAATCCATAAATCATTTTCTCGTTCATGTATCGCCTAAGTGCGATTTGTCATTTCGCGCTGAGGGGCCGCCTCACATCCCCG